TTTTTCAAATGAATTTTTTTATGAAACTTTAACAAAAACTGTAGGTGTGTTTCTGTCTGCTGAATGTTTCTGAGTCACTTCATTCAGTGAAGTTAGTGACAGTCAGTAGAGTATCAAAGTTTTACTTAAGTAAAACTTCATAATGAAGTTACTCAAGTAAAAGAAAATTTACAATGTTGTGAAAGTACTCCTAAAAGTATTTCTCTTCCAAAGAGTTACTAAAAGTAAATGTAACTGAGTAAATGCAGTGAATTATTACTCGACCTGCTCATATGTAAATGTGTGGAGGGGTCTTGTTCTTAAAGCTGCCTCTGTAAAACAGACTAAAACACATTTAGTGTTTGTATCAGTTGAAGTAACACAATTAGTGTTGATACAAACTAGTCTTGTCTAAAAAGACAGAAGCTGACGTTTACACTATTTTCCATTCTCCAGGTTGGTACTGGGGTTCTATCTCAGCGAGCCAAGCTCGGGAAGTTCTCCAGTCCAAGTCTGAAGGGACATTCCTGGTGAGGGACAGCAGCCACCCTCAGTACATGCTGGCCCTTTCGGTAAAGACCCGCTGCGGGCCCACCAGTGTGCGCATCGAGTACAGCAGAGGCAGCTTCTGGCTGGACTCCACGTCGCCCCAGTTGCCTCACCTACAGGCTTTCCCAGATGTTCCGAGCCTGGTCCAGCACTACACCGCCTCAGGCCAGACGGCGCAGGACCAGGAGTCCGTCCGGCCCCAAACCAAGCCGGACCCAGTGCAGCGCGCGGCTAAAGACAGCGGCGTTCCTCTTAAGCTTCTGCATCCGTTGCACAACGTGCAGCAGGATTTTCCTTCTCTGCAGCACCTGGCACGCCTCACCATCAACAAACACACAAACTGCACCGACCAGCTGCCCCTCCCAAAGCCGCTGCTGCGTTTCCTGCAGAACTACCCTTTCTTCATATGAAGACAGCAGCCCGGCGGACGCAGAGGGACAAAGATACAGGAGCACTGTTGGGATTCCTGTCCATGACTGTGGATGTGGAGCTGAGTTAGGATCCTGCATCAGATTCACTGGAGCACAGGGAGAGAAGACAGAGATGGTCCAAGAACAAGAAACCGCAACGTTACTTCACATAAATGAGTTTGGGCTTACTCCAGCACAGCAGCTTTTCCCAAAACCGATTTCTATGTTTACCTTAGCGACTGTGAAACCTGCAGTGAATGCCAATATGTTTTATTCTGAGCTGCAAAAGAAAACCTGTGGATTTTAAATGGTTGGCAATGAGGCAGAGGTAGCTTTACAGAATAAACCAAATTAGCTGAGTCTTTGGGTTTGAAGAACTTTAATCACTTTAACGCTGGAGAAGAAGGTTAAAAATGAGTGATGGTCATGTTTTTGTCAGTGCAGTGTGTGGTAAATATGTGCTGCAAAACTGAACAAATTCAGGACTGAGGATAATTTACGTCTTGTTTCTGTTGGACATGCAGTTCTTTTGCAAAAATATTTCTACCCCTGAACTTTTTCACATTTTGTCCCATTATCTAATTTAATGTATTTTATTGGGATTTTAAGCTAAAACCAGCATAAAGTAGCACACAATTATGAAGTGGAATGAAAATGATGTTTCATTTTAAAAAGATAAATAAATTACAAATAAAAAGCTTTAAAACAATGGCCTGCACACGTGCTCTGATATTCCAATAAAGATCTATTGCAGCCACTTGTACAAGTCACCTACTTAGGTAATAGAATAATCCATCTATGTGTAATCTAATTTCAGTGTAGCTTCGGCTGTTCTGTGAAGGCCTCAGGGATTTATTAGAGAGCATTAGTGAACAAACAGGGCAGGGAGAAAGTTGTTTGAGAAGCATAACGCAGAATTAGGTTATAAAAACAATATTTCAACCTTGAAACGTCACACAGTCAGGGAGAAAAGAGTATGGCAAAACTGAAACCCCATCGAAACGCTAAACAGATCCACAGCTCGGGTGGGATAATCTGTCTGAAAATCTGGAAGAGTTGGAAGAATAAAGTTATTATTGAAAGAAAACTGAGAGATGTCCCTTCAGCAGTTTACCACAAACCACATGAGGGACACAGCTAACATGTGGAAGAATGTGTCCTGGTAAAGTGGGATTTAAAAATGTCTTTTTGGCGACGTGTGGTGGGAAACTAACATTACACATTACCCTGAACACATCACACCTCTGGCATGGTGGTGGCAGCATTAGGCCTGGACGGTATCTCAATATAAAACATTTCATATCAGTTAACATCACTAATTATTTAAATGTTTTGTTTTAAATATCTGAAATACTGCCAGACTGGTGGTGTGACCTTCCCTGTTTTATCCACAACTCCTTCTCCAGCTGTTGTACTCATTTTATTCTTTCACTCCCCCTGTTGTTTCTTTGTTTTTAATTAGTGCCAAAATTTTGTTGGTTACTCAGCAGGTTGTTGCTAGGTAACAGAAGAGTGAGTGAGTTGCTAGGTAACCAAAGAGCGAGTGCATTAGTTGATTTCAGCGACTAAAGCATTTCATCTGCCTACATCCCCCAGAATTCTGTGCGGTTCTGGATTATGGAAAATTCTGTTGCATGTATAATCTATTGATGTTGACCACATGTCTATTGTAATATTTTTTTTTGTTATTGATTGGCAGCGTCATGAAGTGAGGTTGATTTTCTTCATTCCAAGCAGAAGCTGGAACATGGAAAGATTGATAGGGGGGGAAAGGGAATAAAGGAAACATTCTGTGATAAAACCTTTTAGCTGAAAAACACTTGAGACGAGGCTGGTGGTTCGCCTTCCAGCTAAACAACAACCCTATTTATGTAACCAGTAATGTGTTAAAATTACTCAAAGTCAAAGTGGCTCATGCAGTCTAAATTGAACTTGAGCTGCTTTACTACAAAGAAAGAGAGAAAATGAAAATGTTAGATTTTCGATGTGCAAAGCTGATAGGACATACCCCAAAATACTGCAGTTACACTAAGAGATGACTTTACGGTGGGTTGGCCCAGAGGGAGCTGAATACTACTGCCCGTTAACACACATTTGAGATTTATTTTTGTAAAAAAAAATTTAATTAATTAATTAATTAATTAATTAATTGCATTATTCCCCTTCAATTTCATAATTATACACCACTTTCTGTTGTAGTGACATTTATGTACAAGAAAACACCTGGAATTATTCACATTTGCAAAGGACTGTAAGTAAAGTCATGATGCTACTAAAATGATTTGATTTCCAGCAGTAATTTATATTTTTACTATCCAAATAAAGGACATAATATAAGTAGCATGTATTCTTAATATGTTCCTTTTTAGATGGGAAACAGAATTTTTCTTTCATTTTCATATAACCAAGGCCACTTTAACAAAGAACTGCAGAAGATAAAGAAAGTATGTGAAGAGACTTTTTTTTTTTTTGCTAATTCTCAGAAGGGCATCATCATTTGGATTTCAGAGAAGAAAAAAATGTCCTTCCTTGTCAATGGCTGGCCACTACACTGCGCAGATGAATGAGAGGTTTTCATGGAAACGCATCTGAGTTGGTTTCCACGAGTTGCAGCTGAACAACACTGTGAAAGCCTCTTATCAGGATTAGAATAAAAGCTGCAGCTATTAGTGCGCTGCTACACCAACTGAGAATTGAAAAATAATTATTTCTACTTCAATATCTTTTCCTCTTTTTTTAAACAATTATGGGATCTGAAAAGACTGAGTACAGCTTATAAAAAGAACATCACATTTCCTGTTGCTGTTCTTTTTTTTTTCTTTTTTTTTACCAATTCTTCAACTAAAAATGTTCCTAAATCCACATGTTTTATTTGATGTATGGTAAAAGACTACATTAGATGTAAGAGTAAAAATTTCAACATATAAATGTTAACCTTTATTATTATAACAGATTTCAATAAATTCATATTTTATTGCAGTAGTAAAAGCTCACAACAAAAATATCTGAAAGATCTATCTTTATAGTCTATTATATTTGTTGACTATACAAATTAGTTCTATTTTTACAAGTTTACCAGTGTTAACTTCTATAACCCCGGAGAAAGTCCTTTATCTGCTCTCTATATTTCTGTTTTGAATTGGACAAAAGCCCAGTGATGACTCATTTCTAGTTTTCTGGAAAAGGCCGATTTGTATTTAACATTCCCTGGCATTTTTAAAAGGTTTGATCACAGATCCTCCACCATACTTCACAGTAGACATGATATGCTTCATGATTAGATTAACCTTGTAAAAGGCTGGTCTTATCCTCAAAGTCCCAATAAAGTTAAGCACACTTTGAGTATTTTTTTTTTCTTGAACACCTTCAAACCTAGCCCAAAAGGGCAAGTGTCCTGAGATCTTTAGATGTGTCTCTGCTTCAACACATGCAAGTCATTAGCAGGACGGCATCCTGAGGATATAATCCAGCCATTTGATTTAGGCATGTTGAACCAGGGACACGTCTAAAAATTGAAGAGCACTGGACCTCGAGCTCACCATCTAATGATTGCTATGGAGACTTGTTGACCCAAAGATGGTCCTCTTTGCTGAGTTTTGGAGATGTTAATTTTTTTAACCTTCCTCACTGTCTTCTTCACTGTGCTTGGGTCCTCATTCAGACTTATTTGTCACAGTTCCCATTGTACAAATAGACTATTCAACATTTATCTGAATAACATGTACTCTTATGTTTCCTACTCTGAAGAATTACTAAACAAAATTGGTGTCCAGTTTGAATCATTTTTATACTATCTATCTATCTATCTATCTATCTATCTATCTATCTATCTGTCTGTCTGTCTGTCTGTCTGTCTGTGTCTATCTCGTTCATCAGTAGTTGTTTTCTTATGTCTTCTTGCAGTAATCCTGGTTGATTATCTATTTCTAAAGCTAAAACGCACACACAAAACATCCATATCGACTACATAAAATGTAGATAATCAACCCGGATATATATTGATAGGTCATAATATTGATGTATATAGATACATCACCGTGCATGTAGTCAGTTTTGAACTGTTTAGTTGTCCCCACCCCCTCACTTCCCTCCTGTTAATCCTCTAGCATCAGCAGCAGACAACCGAGGCTAACAAAGCGCTACTTTGACTTCAGTTCAACAATCTTCTAACCAATCACTACGTAAGTTCATCATGCCTACAAACAAAATATACTTATATCTTTTTCACTGGGTTTATTATTTACAGTTTAATGTAGTAGGTTTATTTTTTGAAGTAGATTTTCTACCGACTCTTTGCCAGTGTTAGCCACCTAGCTAATGGAACGATAAAACTCGTCTTGACTTCCGTTCTGCCAAGCTAATTCTTGTTAGCCAGCTAGCCGTGCCGGTATGCGACTTTAGAGCAAATTGTGTTTATTTAGCTCATAGAACGATCCTACTAATAGAGTGTTGTTTCAGAATTGCTTTTATAAACCCTACAGTCCTTCTGAATTGTAAAGATAATATAAAAACTTTGCTTCTAGGCTACATCCTGTCGTAGCTAGTTAGCCTCCGCAGCTAACATTAAGTCTTTTGTAAACAGATAATTATTTTAGCCTGGTCTTATCCAGGTCATAAAGCTCTGCAACGATTCGCGAAAAGGTGGGTCAGTAATTTACGACAAAGTAGGTCAAAAGGAATAATTAACCGAGCCTGATGCCGGGGTGGCTAACACAGTCGCAGCGGAAATGTATAATCGGGAAAGAAGAGATCTCTAATTTGGCTAAAAAGTAATAAGTCCGACATCAATCAGATAGTTGTAGATAGTCGCTTCTATGCCTATCATTGTTATTTGTTGTATTTGATGCAGAGTATTTTCAGCCGTCATGATGCAGTGACAGAAAGTCAGGATGTTCGCCCCGGGTGTTGGTTTTAGTCGGGGCTTGGGTTGTGTCAACACAGCTGAACCTGCGATGTGCTCACGGGCGCAGCGGGGCCAGAAAGTTGCATAATAAAATGACCCGCCCTGTTAAAGACAGATAACAACCTCTGGTACTGTGACTGACATCCGTTGTTCTTTGTTTTTCATGCCCTCTTTTCTCAAGCGATGGCAGCAATTAGGAAAAAGCTGGTTATAGTGGGAGATGGAGCCTGTGGGAAGACCTGCCTGCTCATTGTGTTCAGCAAGGACCAGTTTCCTGAAGTCTATGTGCCCACAGTGTTTGAGAACTACGTCGCTGACATTGAAGTTGACGGAAAACAGGTAGGGATTGTTTTCCTCTTCCACATTTCAGTCAAACAGCATTTTATTAGGTTTCAGCAGGTGACGGCTGGTCAGATCTCTTCTGCTTCTCCCATTCACAAATAATAGAAATGTCATTATGCACTATAAACAACAGCAAAATAGTAAAAAAAAAAAGAAAAAAAAAGCTATTCCTTAAAACTGGCTAAAGTTACAGAGCTCTCTCGTTCTACATAGATGAAATTCTACAAATATGGTAAAATGTTATTTTAGGTATTTATAAATAAAACCTTCCTATAAGGAAAAAACAGCATATCTCATTGTTTGTGTTTTTGATCCCACACTTAAAAGTTTAGAGTGCACCATATCATAAGATATTCGCTTTTTCAAATAGGTGTCATCCAATTATATTTTTGAGAGGAAATGTTAAATGAATTTACTATCACTTTAAATGAGTCTTAAGCATCCTTTCTGTCATAATCAAATGTTTATTATTTATATCAGGACAGAAGCGAAGTCACGCTGTGTGTTAGCTCTAAAGATAAACAGGAATCTACTATTACTACAAAGCAATAACAAAATACGTAGAGTTTCCATTTCTAAGCTGTCTTTAGCATCCTAACATGTCTTTAGCATGGTTATTAAGGTTAGCATTTCAAATAGCATCCTGTTTATATTCCCTTTAGAGTTAGAGGACACTTACCTTAACTGTGATATTCACAAGAGACATTTCCTACTCCTGCGTGTTTCTCCTCTGACAGAATTGGACTCTTGAAAAGGATAAAACGGAGTAACTCGACTGTAATACTTCCAGCTGACGCCCAACTTCCTGTCGTCCTGCCTGAAGAAAAAGTCGACTTTAGTCCTTATTTTTTTTTTTTAACACCTCACTGATACCTAGGGCTGTTGCATCATCTTTCAGCAGCTGATTTAACTTCAACAGTGAAGACTCAGTGACCTGGTAGAGCTTATGTACATGTATGATGCATTCACTGCCTGGAAAAAGATGGGGATTTTTAGTTTTGCCCAGTAGATTATCGATTAGGACCAGTTGAACATAAAATCATCTGGTGTTGGTGCATCTGGGGGGCGACTGTGGCTGTGTGGGTAGAGAGAGTCTTGCAATCAGAAGGTTGTAGGTTCGATTCCAGCTTCCTTCTGCCACACGATGTGCCCTGGGCCCCCAGTTGTGCATAAACGTGTGTGTTTGTGAGTGCAAATGGGTGAAAAGTGCTTTGAGTGGTCAAAATGAAAAGCGCTTCATTTACCACATCTCTCAATATAAGCTTAAGTTAAACATACTCAGTTTAACCACATATAGGCCTGATGTAAATTAGAAACAGTTTGACACTTGGGCTCTTTAACAGAAGTTTGTTTTTAATTTGTATTTGTTTTTCTACACTGTCAATCAAGAGCTAGAAATATTCAGAGACCATTTTGAGCAAAGGAATGAGAGATGCATAATGTTCAGAGTAAAATAGTATACCTTTATGACCATTGTGAGCTTTTAAACACATGCATAGCTTCAATGCTTGGGGTCGGCTGATAACGTTAAACTCCTTGCAGGTTGAATTAGCGCTCTGGGACACAGCAGGTCAAGAGGACTATGACCGACTCCGCCCACTCTCTTATCCAGACACTGATGTCATACTCATGTGCTTCTCCATCGACAGCCCAGACAGTCTTGGTGAGTTAAAACCGGGATTCTGTGAATGTTGTGGTTTATGATCTAATTTTCCAGCAATAGATTTTTATAATTTGAGTGTTCTTATCCAGAAGAAGTTACACTTATTAAGTACATTGTGCCCTCGTGAGTAAAACCCCAGAGTTGAAAGGGTTTTTGTTTCTTTTCAGTGCATTCTTTTTGTGTGATGATGCTTCTTGCTCCAGTTGTGTCTTTGATCTGACTGCTGGTGTCTGCTGTCCCTTTACTCAGAGAACATCCCTGAGAAGTGGACCCCTGAGGTGAAACACTTCTGCCCCAACGTTCCCATCATACTGGTGGGAAATAAAAAGGATTTGCGTAACGATGATCACACTCGGAGGGAGCTAGCTAAAATGAAGCAGGTAAACCAGAAAGATCTGTTCATGTCGTCTGACAGGTTTTGGCATCTACTGCAGTCAGACTCCAACTGGTTGAATGTATTATTGGGATCCAAAGCATGAATTGATTATTCTTAGACTGCAGTAGCCAACATATAGTCCATTCCAGAGGGGATGCAATACTGCACACACACACTGAGTAAGACAGTATATTGTCTGGTCCTATGGATAGTGTTACAAAACGCTCTCCAAATGCCAAGAGAATGTCGATTCTTACCTTAAAAGGGATCGATTATGCTTCCTTTAATAGGTTAGGTTAGGATAAGACTATGGGCTATGCAAAACATTTCACTACATTTTTGCACAAAATTATTCTTAGATGAGATTTTAATCTGCTCTGTTCTACCTGTTTTGACCTGTTTTATGGCGTTTTGTCACTTTAAATCATAATAAGCTGCTGCTGACCACGCCCCCCAACTCAAAGTTTACAGTCGCACGTGGAAATGGCTGCAGACAGATGGACCATTATACAACCATACATCTTTGAAAAGCAGAAATGGAGCCTCCTGAACAACCAACAAGAATGCAGCAAGTGGTTTCAACAACAAAACACTTGTCTCTTCTAGCAGCCATTGTACAGCACAAACAGCTGTAAAACCAGCTGACCAAACATCCTGGAGCTCCGCCTGGTTTCCTAGGCAACCAGCTGGGTTCGGCTGGGGTTACTAGGCAACGACGTATTGTTTTAACAATCAGGAGGATTTTGAGACAGCTCTTTTTCCATACACCAAAAAACTTGAACTTATTGGCAGAACACAGCTGGCCAGGTGAGTTTTTTTTAAAGCACTGGGTCATTTTTAGAAGCACCCGAGACCCAAACAGAAGCATGAAAACATGTAAAATGTGAATTTTACATAATAGGTCTCCTTTAACGCTGAGATTTCAAAAAGCCTGCCAACATTCCCAAATCCAGGATATTCCATGACAGACAGGAAGTGGAACTTTGTTGTTCAGACTTATTTGTTGAAACTTTCTTTCGCATTTCATCACCTTAAATAGTCGAGACATTTTGACATATTATAGAAAAGACATTTAACAGCTTCTTAGATCATTGTTTAACACTTTAAATTGCTCCTTCAGTCAGTAGCAGCATCTTTACTGAAGAGGTTTTTCTGTGCAGCCTGAGTGTTTAGTATGGTGTGTTTTTTCAGTGGAATAAGATTGGATTCAATCTGGCCAGCAGGTCACTGATCAGGGCTTATTAGACTGAATACCAGCTGGTTCAGTCATCAATCAACTTCTTGGTGCATGTTCATTTTTTATATCCTTTTTTTTCCCTTCACATCAGCTGTCGGTTTTCCTAAAAGCCGCTCTGTTCTCCCCTTTCTGCAGGAACCCGTGAAACCAGAAGATGGCCGGGATATGGCCAACAGGATCGGTGCCTTCGGATACATGGAGTGCTCTGCAAAAACAAAGGATGGCGTGAGGGAAGTGTTCGAGATGGCCACCAGGGCTGCACTACAGGCCAGGCGGGGAAAGAAGAGCAATAAATGCGTCCTACTGTAAACTGGGGCATGAGGACTGCTTCCTGCAGGGGGTAGAAGAAGGAGAATTAGGTCAACCCCACCCCCAGATAAACACACACAAAGACTGCTCTCCCCTGTTTTTACTAAAGGTGTAACGCTTCTACTGTTTTGTCTTAAGCAAAAGTAGTCAGGTCATCAGTATTCAACTTTAAGGTTATGGAAAATACTTTTTTGTACTTTTAACATGAGTAAAATTTGCCATAATGAAAGCTCCTTAAACATGTTGTATGTAATTGTAAAGGTCACCCCGGGGTGCTGTTGTGTCATACTTGCCAACTACAGTTAAGTGCTTAAGCCCTGCCTGCTGATCTGAGGAATGTGTTCACAGCCAACTAGGGTGAAGAACCTGCACACTGTGACCTGTAGTCCTTTAACTATTCCAACAAACCGAGGCACGCAGCCAGTCTAAACCCGGCGGCGCGCCTCCTAATATTAAAAACAATCCTCTGTGCATTGTGATCCAATGCACACTATTATACTGGAAACTGGTTTTGCTAAAAACACAAGTGTTTTGTGTAATAAATTACTTTGTAAGAATCTTGATAATTTGCTTGACTTGACTGAGACACACTGATTGAGGACCAGAACTTAAATGTAACGCCGGCTTCAGGTGGATTTGTTTTGTTTTCTTGGGTTAAAACTTTAACTGTTGGCCAGTTTGGGGTGTTTTTTTTTTTTTCCGTTTCAATGTTGGTCAGGATTTCTGGTTCAGCCATAGTGCAAGAGGTGCACATAGGAGATACGCTGGGCATTAGAGATTTATACAAGCCACTCCTTTAGCTTTTTGTCTCGTCTGTGGAGCCTGACTAGGGACTAATTTCTGTGGAAGCAACTTTTGATAAGCCCTGGAACGACGTAGTAGGATATAAATTATATGTATCAATCAGGATGTTAACAGTTTGAAATAATAAACTTGTCAGTGCTCCCTGGTGGACAAAATTAGCGCCTGCTTTTTGTTTTTGTTTGTTTTATCCTCCTTGCAGCCAGTATTGGTACATTGCACTGATAACGGACCTGAACAATCTGTTCAGGTCTGTTATCACTGGATTTATTCAACATGCAATGTTTACAAGTGAACTGAATTGTGCCCATCGTTTACTTCAAGTTGTTTTTTCCCCCTCCATTACATTTTTGCAGTTTATAAATTAGGCAGTCAACAAGCACACAAAGTAACGTTTCACATTTTGCTACATAGATGCAAATGGAGACGCTTACTTTTGAAGACTAATTTCTTCCCTGATTATCAGACCTGCACCAGAGAAACTAAAAAAATATGGTAAAGCTTTTGATTTAAAGAACTTCCAGGTTTATGTGAGCTAGAAAAATGGAAAATTGTACCATCTATGTTTTATGATTCAAGAAAAATTCTGCATCTTGAAAAGACACACAAACTTAATTATAAGACCAACTTCCATAAACACAGACATGAACTAATCTAATCCCATCCCTGAAAACAATTCAACTTATAAATGTGGCATCCGAGTGTAAACATTTAGTATCTTTGTCCCATGTTTTCATAGATATTCTGCATGTGAGCCAGTTGAAAAGCAACACAAAGTAAATCCTCTAAACAAACCGTAACATTATCAGTATGTCTGGAGGAAACTTTAATATGTTTTTCCTAACCCTAACCCTAACCCATCCACCACCAAGTGAAATAACTAAACACCTCCCAGCTGAGATGTGTTGACACTCAAAATAAAGCAGGGCCCGTCTTACTTGGCAGAGTAATATGCTTCATGTCGCAGATTAATGATCAGTGAAGGCAACAAACTCCTCCGTCTGCTTCTGTGAGACTCATTTTGAAGTTTTGGAGTTGTAGCTGTGTAACATTGTCTGAGTTTTCTGCTGCACAGCTGCAGTCAAGCTGAACCCAGGTCGAATCGTCACTGCGATAGTCATTCGTTCTTCTTCTGGGGAAGGCCTGAACGAGCCAGAAACACTGGAAGCAGAGCGAGGGCTCCCAGACCGGCCGCCACCAACGGCCTGTAGAAAAGCCAACCGACTCCAATGACGAGGAGAGACAGCGAGCAGGAGAGGCACAGGGCGAAGATCTTCAGGCCGAAAGACACCAGATCTCTGAGGAGAGGAACCCAATCCACTGCAAGTGAAACGGAGCGACAAAAACATACATGGGATGAGTTCCTGTTTGATACGCCCAGGCTACGTTCACACAGCAGACGAGCGAGACCGAAAATACGCCGCTTCTGCCCAATTCTCATCTTTTCACCCCAAAAGTCTGATCTATGCCACTTCCATATGTGGTTGTAATTTGGATACGTATCCAATTGTTTTCAAAGCATTTGCAGTCTGAATGATCATGTCGCAGTTTATGAGGCTTTATGTCACTGATGTGAGACACGATTCATAATTTTTCACCAGAAGAAGTCAGATGCGGTAAGTCAGGATGTAAACAAATGCAGAAAGTTGTGATTACGCAAGTCGCTTTGCAGGACGGAAACCTTTAACAGAAATCTCACTGCAGTCAGGTTAATTTATGGAGTATTGTAAACAGAAAAAAAAAAGTACATTTTCACGAAACAACTCAGAAAATTTGAGATTAATCTCAAACATTTTCAAGAAAAAGGAAATTTCATGGAGTTTCAAAAGTTGAAAATTTTTGACTTGAAATTTCCTCCTCATTAAAAAATATCTGCAACTATAAGGTTTTTGGCAAAAATTCACTCCTCTTTTCCCTCCCCCAGCAGCAACGGTGATAATTCGTCATCGTAGGTTTAATAATAATACTAATATGAACAACCACTCAAAATAAAGGAAAAAATAATTATAACAAATAAAAAATGTGAATTGAACGTCAAGGCCTGCAGTGTTAACGTTGATTTACCCAGAGTGTAGAGGATGCGGGTGGTCAGCTGAATACTAACAAACATGAGGAACCAGCCTGCAGCCCTCAGGCCCCACGTCTTCATTGTGTTGTACTGATGCTCCTTGGCAAACACTTCCTGCAAATTAAAACGCAGCTGCATTAGTTAGGAAACACACAACATTACAGAATAAAGGAGGGAAATATTAAGATTTTAAACCAAAAGAAACAAACGTAAATCCACACCGACCTGTGCAGTGAGCTCCTCCAGGTAGATGATTTCCAGAAAGTCTCCAGATTTCGTCTTAAAGGGCACCAATTTCTCTCCTCTCTGCATGGCTACGATGCTCACCTGGAAAACGTTTAAATACTGTCAATACTGACCATCCAAACAAGCCCAAACACCATCACATTCATGGCTTCTTATCGGATTTGTTGTTTCAACTAAACATTTTCTCTACGCTGACTTTCTGCAGGGAATCAAAACATGAGTCACTGTGGTGACAAAATCTTAAATTAATTAATATATATATAAATTATAGGGATATCAATTTGTTTCTGCAACTAATGAATAGGAACTTTCCATATAATTTAATAAAAATATTTCTAACAACATCCATCACATGTTTTGGCACTGCAGGTAAAGATGTGTGAAAATAGCTTTAAAATAAAACAATCTACTATTGCAGAAGCATAATCTTAAATTCATTTTTAATTCAAACTTCAGCTGAAGTATATTTAGTCAGAGAGGGAAAAAAGAAAAGAAAATATGGATTTTGATCATATTTTCTGACTGTAAAAATAGGAAAACTGAAGGATGAAAATGTTTGAGTTTCTTATTTTCTTTTTTATGTAGAATTATTATATGTTTATATGTAATATACTTATGGATGGATGAGGACTTTTATTTTTGGTAGATAAACTCCATTCATTATTTTTAATGAATAAAAACAAAAATAAATTAATAAAAAATAAATAAAATAAAGACCAACAGTTTAAAGTCTCGCCTGATCCCAGAAGTATTTCTCTATGAAATATTTCAACATTTGGAAATAATATGTAGAAACAGATGCTTGTTTTGTTGTTGTTGTTTTTTAAGCAGACATCTGTGGTAGTAAAAAAATATAATTATTCTCTTTTACACTTACTGATATATTAATATTATTATTAATGGACCACCTACAGTTAGCGGCGGGCCGAGGTGACTGTTCTCACCACTCAGTCCAGCAAAGGAGAACCTCACTCGGACGTCCCCGACCTGATCAAATAAAAAGAAACTAATAATAATAATAATAAAAACACATGTCTGATCAAAATCAATAAGTGGAACCTGGATACTGTGAGAAGCTGTGGGGGCTGACCTGTGGCCGGAGCGGGAACTGAGTGTGATAGAAGTAATCATCATGGACGGAGAGGAAAGGATCCACAACAAAGGCTGAGAGATCCTTCAGTCTGAGAGTCTGGAAGTCGTTGATCCGCTCCACCAGGCCTGAGGAGGAACCATCAAAATCAAAACTAACATCAATTAAATTTGAGGAGAGCATCGTTAGCTGCATTTTCATTACAGATTAGATTTCACAATTTGAAATTATGAAAATAAATTTGTTTAGTGGAAAGCCACCAATTTCAGAAAACAACTCTTGTTTTGTGATAAAAAGTTTTTGTGCTTTGATGAAGTGGCTTTTCGACCGTTTCAAGATGGAAACATTTTTTTCGCATCATATGAGTCACGTGATCAACAGCTGGACGTTACTACTGGTGAAAACCTCAAAGAAGAAGACAGCAGGAAGACAATGTTTTCTGTTTTTTGTGCAATGTGCAACTGGCTCCACTAGAGTGCTCACAACATCACGCAGTTCATAAAAAGTTTGAATGTGTTGAATCCAAAGCTCTTCTATAAAATCACTGACTACAATTTTCCCAAAACGCTGCATAAGTAGCCGCTAACAAGTATGAAGGGTTTGTCACTCCCAACAGCTGAACAAGACGCCAACGTCTCCTCTGATGACTGACAGATAATGATGGCTGAATTATCACTATATCTCATGTAACTGTTTACATTTGTCACTGCCATGATAGTAAATGACTAATCATGTAAACAAGCTGATTCACCTGTGATTTTAATTTCTTATTTTATGGAAAAACAGCAATTGCGAATTTTTTTTTATTTTTATTTTTTTGACATTAGCAAAATACAAAGATTTGAGAAATGGAAGCAAAGCTACTGACAGATTTTCAAAAATACCTTTGGACAGAATCAAAGGTCCCACTCGGACTTCCTGAGCCACCACTGTCACACTCTCCACCGGCATGGCGCTGTGAACCAGCAGCTGAGTTAAAACCGTGCAGCACATAAGCGAATCATCTTCCAAACATTTTCAGTACCTCGGGTTCTGGTGGCCGATTTCCTTATCGAAGTTACGACTGTTGACCACCTCTGATTTCCACTCCGTGTCTAGAGAAATAAACCATGGTTTGTCACCACAAGCTGGTTGAGTTGATGCAAAAACAACAGATGAGCGCTAAAATAATAAAACCAAACTCACTGTAGGTGTAGGTCGTCTCAGTCTTGGTTTCTCCGTTCTCTTTGTAATCCCTGAAATTATTTCAGGGTCAAGGTTTTGCTGCTTTCTAAAACTTTTTCTCAGTCTGAGCTGCAGGGAGCGGACATACCTGCTCTCACTAAGCTCCACCCACTGGTACATCTCCACCTGCCGCCGCAGCTTCACGGCCTGGACCACCACCCTGTAGCTGGGGTCATGGAGGGGCTGGGCAGGAATAAATCAGATTCAGCCCATCAAAACCACATGGCAGGAAGAAAAGCTAAGAACACATTAGACTAAATAAGGAATCTACCCAAAAAAAAGTCCATTTACATTAAAAATAAATTTCTGTGACAGCTATTGTATATTTTTCCCTCAATGTTTTCATATACTCTTTGATTACTGCACATCTATTTATTGAATTATATGCAGCTTCACAGACAAAATTAGTCTCTTTCCTTATTAAGTGAAATAATTAGCTTATGACAGCCATTAATGGAATAGGTTTTTATTAGTATTTTTCTCTGGTTGGTTTCAATAATCGTAAAATGTGACCAAAATTAGAGGCAAGAGTGCTAATACAAGTAAACTTTGAATAACTGACTATTTTTTCTCACGTTCTTCTTGTACCACTCACCAATTTGCATCATTTCATGTTTTCTCTCAATTATTTCACTCTTCATAGAAGCTACACCTGGTCTGGCATTTTGTTTTGCCTGCAGTGCCTCCCGGATTACGGCATCGCCTGAGATAATGCTGCCATCGACTCATAGTCCTCTCTCTTCTGCTATAAACCTTTTACTTTCATGGAGATGATTGAAAATAACCCTACATCAGTTCTTCTGTTTCTTCCTGTGCATTCTGCTTTGTCTTCTCAAACCCCTATTTGGTCGTGGCAGATGGTCGCCCAGCGTCCAAACCTCCATTTTCATTTGCAATTTGTTGCATACTAATTACCACAGATTTCTGTTTTAACAATTTTCTCTGGTCCAGCTATGAGTTTGGATCACAATAACCAAAATGAAGCTTCTGAAGTGTGCAGATTTTAAACGACGACAGCCTACCGTCAGGGTTTGCAGCTGTGCAGATAGATGAACTAAGCGGTTGTTGTTCTGCAGGTCGAGGATTGGATAAGAGTCCAGCGACTTCACCTGAGAGAGACCTTCATCCAGAGAACAGGCCGTTTGCAAAGCTCGACCCTGAGGAGAGAAACAATAGAAACCTCTTCTTTATTCTGTCCTCAAAACGACTGTTTTCTCGCTCAGAGACTGTTTCTCACCTCATTAGTGAAGAGAATGTAGATGGAGAGGAAAAACAGACCAACACCGACGACTGTTCCTCCTGCCGTTTCACTCAGACGCTCCAGAAATCCAGGATTTGATTTAACAGTTACACGTCTGTGTTGGTCAGGCTCTGGTCCTGAAAACTAAAAAAAAGTATAAAAAAGACACAGCTGAAAGTTTAATAAAACTATAGGACATAAACATATAAAGTAAAAACTGAATTTGGCAGTAGTAAATATTTATGAAACACAGAATTAATTGTGATTAATGATTTAAGAATGTCTTTTCTTTTTTTTTAGTATTTCTGTTGCACCACCAACTCTATTATGGACAATTATAAACTAACGTCAACCAATCAAACCTTAGAGTTTATTTATTCAACACATTTTAACAAGGCAAAGTGCTTTACAGTCATCAATTACGAAACTAAGCAATAAACATAACTTTTTTTAATCAAATGTCACCAAAATAATCGACAAAAGACACATCAAATATGTTGATCAATGTTTCACTTAGTACTAATCAAAGGCAACTCTAAACAGGTGGGTTTTAAGCCTTAATTCAACGGATTACCGTGTTTCAGCAGTTTTGCAGTTTTCTGCAAAACTTGTTAGAAATTTGAGGGGTATTGAAGCTGAATGCTTCTTTGCACCATGGAATGTTTTATATCTTAAAGCATCAATATAATTAGACGCAGCTGCTACGCTTTTATCTACTGTATAACAGTTTTAATTAAATTATCACACATTATTTAAATATTAGTATGTGTATATTTTAAAACAAATGCACCAAATGAAGTTGAAGGGAGTCGCAAATTCATTCTAAGTGGGTCAGTTACAACTTTGATATTATACAGACAATATGGAGTCGATAGAAGTGAACGAAAGTATTCGACTGTGTCTAAATTTGGTGTTTGGGCGTCAATAGCTGACACACCTTCATCACTTCCTACAAGAAATGTCTCAGGTTTTTCATAACATTTACCTTAATATTCTACCACAGTTCTACCATGTTACGAGCACACACATAGTTGATCTCTACTAACTGTGAGATAAATGCTAAAAGATAACTTCGAGTTAAATGCTTAAATCAAGGGACAGGAAGCATAACTGCTAAAACTGTATAAAGTAGTAGCAACAATAAAAATACTCTCTATGAAGCGAAACTAAAGTCGTGTAAATTATATCACTCACTGTCTGCTCTGAAGACATTTCTTTGATTTTGGTCAACTCTGCAAGCAGGAATCACAAAAATGTTAGCAAACTGACGTACAGGCAAACAGCTCGCCTGCCAGGGTTCGCTGTCACATTGGCCCGGAGTGTCCCGCTTTCAGCCCAGGAAAGGCGGAGTCACATAGAAATGTTTAATCTCAGCTCCCGCCCAGGCATGCGGGCCGTTTGGTAAAAACCGCGAGCGTAACTGCACAGATGACACGACATCGAGAATCATGGGTAATGTAGTCTTCGTTTCACGTTCGGAAAAAAAATTGTCAACTAGTCAGTTTGCAGTTAATTATAAAGATAAGCAGAAAATTTTTAATTAATTTGACATGTTTGATTAAAAAGATGATAGAATACACAGTATTCTACCTCCAACCAGCATGACTTTCTACTTTTACAATTTAAGACTGAAGACCAAATATACACCTACCACCTAATAGAAAGAACACACTTTTTCTTGCCATCATCAAACTTCTGGCATAAATGCATATTTGACCACTCTTCTTATAAAAACAAAAAAGGACTTCTCTACCAACCACTGTGGCTGGTGGAGAAATTTTTTAATTTCCACCCCTGGTCCTAACTCACAGGACCATCCTGACTCTAAGGCATGTCTTGACTCGGAGGCCGGTAATGACTCAGAGGACGGTCCTGACTTGGAGGCAGGTCTTGACTCGGAGGCAGGTAATGACTCAGAGGACGGTCCTGACTCGGAGGCCGGGAATGACTCAGAGGACGGTCCTGACTCAGAGGTAGGTCTTGACTCGGAGGCAGGTCCTGACTCAGAGGCAGTTTCAGACTCGGAGGCAGGTCCTGACTCGGAGGCCGGTCCTGACTCAAAGGCAGGTCTTGACTCGAAGGTTGGTCCTGACAAGGAGGCCGGTAATGACTGAGAGGACAATCCTCACTCAGAGGACGGTCCTCACTCTGAGACAGGCCCTCACTCTGAGGAGTGACAGGTCCTAACTCGGAGTGAAGTCCTGACTTGGAGACAACAGGTAAATGGAGACTACATTTACCTCGCTACATTCGCTACATTTACCTCGTTATGTGCGAGAGGTGAAGGAGCGTGAGGAGCCCTGAACTGTATGGGAAAACATAATCGGCGCATCGCCCCCTCCAGACGGGGTTTTGGCGCCCCCTCTGGTGCTGCGCCCCTATGCGTTGCATACGCTGCATACCCACTTTTTGCGCCTCTGGACAAGGGTGTACAGAAAATGGATGGAAGGATAGATTAAAAACGTTTGTTAGGGTTGTGCAGAAAAAAATGTTAATATCCTTTATACATTCTGTGTTTTTGTGGTCAATATTATTTCACCATTTTATTAATGTGGCTACAAGAATGATAGAAAACATGCTAAGAAAACGCCTCAGACCTGCAGCCCATCAGTGGCTCTAGACACAGGCTAACAGTTTAATGATGAAATATTGCCCTGTTTTTTGTTTCATTTTCTTTTAATTGCCCTGTAGGCAGCAATTTATTCACATATATGTACATTTATTATTATTGACACTTCAATTAAAGATGAGTTATACAAGTTTATGTTATTGGGTTTCGCATACACCTCAGAAAGAATGTAGTTGTGCCCCTGGTACCTACTGATAAGCATGTTACTGAAAATATGAAGTTTTAAAATATAATATTAGAGAATACTAAATAACATATTTAAACACACTGAAACTATTCAAATGTATCATGAATTGTTTCATTCACTTATAGCACTAATTAAATGTAATACCCTATTCTGCAGCGGGTGAGTGTGAAACGTGACCTCTTAGGTTCAGTCTTATTCACGCATACACCCAGACACACAGTATGCATATATGTGCCCATCATAAGAGGATTAGTGCAAAGCAATTACTCTCAGACCGCCGTGTCACCTGTTTCTCTGCACAGACTTTAGAAACTGCATGCAAGGGGAAGCAGCTGGAATTAAATCAGAGACAAAATCAGGATGCAGGAGTATGATGTGATAGTGCTTGGAACTGGAATTAAGGTAAGAAAAGACATTATGTTTTTTCTCATAAAATAATCAGCCTGCAGTGTGGGGGAATGAATATTTTTCTCACAGTCTTGATGCATGAGAACCTCAGAAATTTGCAGATATGGTGATTGAAAAACTTGAAGTGTTCAGGCCAGATAATATTATCTGTTTAACAAATAAGTAACAACAAAAACTTGCCAATGAAAGAATTATTTTCTGAAAACAGAAGCAGCACAATGACTTCCAGTCTTAGAAAGAGTGCTGTCTGTAGAGTTGTTTCTAATCTCTATGACAGCAATCACTTCAAGGTCAAATCAAAACTGAGTTGTAGATATTTGCATCCTACACCTTAAAACACACTGAATGATTTGTTGTCTTCAACTTTTACCAGTAGAGTTAAAAGTTAACATGTTTCTAGAAATGCTTGGACATTTTTCCGTTTCCTGGACTGTCATCCTGCTGAGCTCCTTCTGGCTATCGAAGGGGATTTATTGAGTGACATCATGGCATTAAAGCTGATCTGCCTTTACACAAACTGATAACTGCTGATTCCAACAGCATTTGACCCACTTCCTCTCTTGTCCTCTCTTCCTGCTTTCAGGAATGTGTCCTATCTGGCCTAATGTCTCTGAGTGGGAAAAAGGTCCTTCACATTGACAAGAACTCTTACCATGGAGGAGAAAGTGCTTCCATTTCTCCCCTCGAGGAGGTCTGTTCAGTCCAAAACACTCCAAGGTTTTAAAAAGTTATGGTTTCAAAAATGAAAAAGAGAAGGGAAAAAAAGTGGCATTTGAGAGAGCAGGTTTCTTCTACATTGTAAAACATTTGAACCACATTTAGTTTGTCTACTGTCTTCTGCTCTTTAAGTCAAATAAATTTAGCAAGTTTTAGATTTTGGACCTAAATGTTTGAGTTTGTGAAAGATAAACTCACAGTTGTGTTAACTTTATATTAATTTTGTAAAACCTCAAAGAGTTGAATAAACAAGAGTTTTTAGGTTAGCGCTTAAAAAAAACTGAAAGAAGAAAAAGAAAAGAGACATAATGCATAGCGGCTTGTTTTTGTATCCTGAGATGGAAGTGCGTTACATTGATCTGATTCTGGTGTTTTATTAAGGCAAATGTTTATTTTAATGCAATCTTGGGGATAATATTTTATTCACATTAAATGTTTTTGAGTAAAAATAATTCTGATGTTTAGTAAAATTCATGATCAGATCAAAATGTTGTTCATGCAATTTGAAACAAGAACTTAAATTATTCTAAAGTAAAATAAATAGGTTTTTTTTAACTTGATGAGTGAAAATAATAGAGAAATCTGTGCTCTTTAACTACGTGAGGGCAGTTTTTTTCTTGCATTTTGTGAAATAATTATTTGGTTGAAATTTCAACATTTAAGTTAAAACACAATTCAAGATTAATGAACTTAAAAACAATGTTTAGACAACTTTTCTCTTTTATGAACTTTAATTTCTGAGTTAAAACCAAAACAGCAGATGGACTTTCACTTTTAAATTAAACCACCCTCATATGTTTTACAGTGTACTGTTTGGAGTACCATTTAAGCCAGTCAGCTGGCTTAAATGAGTTTCATATATTTTCTCATTGTTTGCAGCTGTTTGGAAATATGTGCATGTGAAAAACAGATGTTGCAGTTGTCTCTTGACATATCTTTGATTCTTTTTAAAGAAATGCCGCTGAAGTGCACAGAACATAACTAATTTGACATTTGAATCACTTTTGCTCCTTCTCACCAGAACCTCCAAAGTAAACGTGACAGATTTAGTGAGAGCAGCTCTTCATCCCACGCTGATTGTGTCCTGGAATAACTAAAATATTATTGCTGATAAGATCTCAAAAGACCAGCAAATAGTGTTGTTCAAATGCTGGTCTGTAGCTGTTTGAGTTTCTTTTTGATGAGAACCTTATTTAAGAGATTCAACACACTCAGTTAGCCATGAGTAGTTAACTTTAATTATTAAATAATGAGTAAACCATTGTGAGATTACTTTTTTACTTATTAAAACAGTTACATGTTAGAGACAAAATTTCTCCAGGAATTACAACAGAATCTATTTCCCTTACTGCTTAGCGTGACGTGGCTCCCAAATTTGCTTTTGATTGGTTGATCGACGCTTCGCTTCATCAAGCTCCTTCCCTGGAAGGCAAGCGGGACAACCAGGTTCTGGCCCTCAGACTGAGACACAGAAAGAACCAGAACCAGCAAAAAGTGACGGAGATGGTGCTTGACCTTTGACCCGATCAGCTGAATGAGTTAAAAACTGCATTTCGGAGCGCAGTAAGGCGCTCAGTTCTTTAATTAGTGCTGTTTCTGGTGCTGCTCCTGGCCCCAAAACAGTTTGGAAATTATTAATCCCTTATTTATTTCAAGATTATTTTACACATTATGAATCTAAATTATGCTATAAACCTCTTTCCTAAAATTGATGAACCTTTAAAAAAGTATTATTTTATGCCAGTTTTTGAACGTTAAATGTTTAGTTTATGAGATCCACATTGCTTATCAAACCAGCACTGTTTTAAAACTACCCTGGCTACTTGAGCAGATAGCCCAACTAACTGAACAACTCAGATGTATTAATCCACAAAGACCAAAATTGGAGTGGATTTCTGCAAAAGCACTTGAAAATCCAAATATTCACTACATATTTTTGCTTAGTTTGAAGCGCAAAATTAGTAAAAATAATAAAAAAATAAATAAAAAAACAATTAACAAATGTTAAAAATACTGGTATAACTTTAATACTGAAAATGTTATAATATTTTCGTAGCAGTGGGAATAATTGTTGCGTTTTGGTTTTTCTCAACATTTTTGTATAACATCTCCATTCTGAGATGTTTTGTGAAGGTTTTGTCTTGCCACCATGAATCCACACCTGCCCTGGCCCGGTAGACTTTCATCTTTATCTCTACACTTTGTTGCTGGTATTAAATGCTCATCTTGTTTGCAGCTGTACAGGCGGTTTAAGGTTCCAGGCCCTCCTAAATCGATCCGACGAGGGAAAGAGTGGAACGTGGATCTCGTTCCCAAGTTTTTTCTTGCCACTGGTGAGTTTTGTGTAGCTCATCCTATTAGTGAGCTTCTTGTTTTAGGTTTATCTCACCATCAGCTGATGTGTGTTTGCTTCAGGCCAGCTGGTAAAGATATTGGTACACACTGAGGTGACTCGTTATCTGGACTTCAAAGTTGTTGAAGGGAGTTATGTGTTCAAAGCAGGCAAAGTGCACAAAGTCCCTGCCACAGAGGAGGATGCACAGTGCTCAGGTGACATAGATCAGCATTTTTAATCCACTTCTACAGGCAGAAACGTATTTTATGATTTTACAACATTTTCAGATCTGATGGGCATGTTTGACAAGAGGAGGTTCAAGAAGATGCTGCACTTTGTCCTGAACTTTGACACGAGAAACCCTCGCACTCACCAGGACGTGGATCCTGAGAAAACGACCACGCGAGAGCTGTTCAGCCGCTTTGACCTGGGACAGGACGTCATAGAGGTCACAGGTCACGCCATAGCCTTACACTCCAGCGAGAGGTCAGTCAAGATGCGAGCTAGTGATCCCAGATGTTTCAGATGTCCTGGTCAGATGCCTCCATGTGGTTTCCTGCTCTGCAGCTACCTGGATCAGCCCTGTTTGGAAACCATCAACCGGATCAGGCGGTACTGCGAGTCTTTGTCCCGCCACAACAGCAGTCCGTACCTGTACCCGCTGTACGGCCTCGGCGAGCTACCGCAGGGTTTCGCCCGGTGAGACGCAGACAGTTTCTACTTGTTGTATTTAACCCTTTCATGCATGTGGTCACTACAGTGGACAGCTGTCTAAAAGCCATTTTCTTGTGGATTTTTATGTTATAAATGCACACAGACCACTGAAGTGGCCCTTCATGCATCATAAAATACACTATCAACTACTGGCCAACAGCTGCAAATGCAAGAAGTTATTTTAGTTAAATCCAATATGGCCGACAGACCAAAAAGCATGCCAAGCGACCCGGTCCCTCCTTCTACTATAGACGACTCTTGCAGGTAAAAAAGAAACAAAACATATTGTGACATCAGATAACCCCTAAAGAACAATACTACTGATGTGTTTTTCAAATAACAACTTTGTATTTAGAGAAAATTACAATTGATCAGCTAAATAAAAATTTTTCTTTACAAATTTTTTTCTACCTTTTTTTATGCCTTAAGAAAATAAATAAAAAATGGGGAAAAATCCTGACACAAAGGATCATAATTCATGCATGAAAGGGTTAAATAAAAACAAAAAAACAACTGAAATTTATCTCTGAGCAATTTCTGAAAAATAATTCAGTCTCATTCCCGTCATGCAGAACTGATAGCTTTTCTTGAACGTTCACAAATTCACAAGATGGAGCCAAAAGGCAAAGTCAGAGTCTAATTGGACTAATGAAAGTAAAACAAAATTTGAAAAAAGAACAAAGTTTGATCAAACTAAATATCACAACATTTCAGAAATAAATCACTGCCTGACTGCACAGTGCAGCTGTTAACACTGTTACCAGTCATTTGTTTGAATCTCACCGCGTCTCAATCGCAACGTTAAGGTGGCGTTTTAAGAAACATTGTTGTTAGTTTGAGCTTTCCTAAATGGGTTTTCTGGAACGTGGCATTTTCTGAAATTCTTGATTAAGATTTTAGTGTTGAATTTTCTGCTATGTTGGGGGGGGGGGGGGAGGTTTAAAAAAAGAAAATGTTTTT